GGCTCGACGCTGCTGCACGCGGCCGCTCTCAGTGGGAAGAAGAATGTCCTCGACCAAGTGCTATCGCTTTGCAGCGACGTGGAGGCCTGTGATGAGGTAACTTGATTGTCAGTAGAGAATATCGTCTATAGCCTATGTTCAATAAACCTAGAGGGGACACACGCCGCTGCACGTCGCGGCGGCCAAGGGTCATGCGAGCGTCGTCGAGTACCTCGTTGACGCCAAGGCCAACACCTTTGCGACGACAACGGTACGGTTAATACTACTACATGCGACGATACCTCTACCGTGACAATATCTCTAGACTGGCGACACGCCACTGACACTGGCAACGCACCCACGCGTTCTAGCCGCCTTGAAGAATGCAGAAAATGAGGCCAAAAATGAGGTAATCACGATGCCTCGATGGACTTGATTGGTCCATACTCACCATTTTTGTCATTTGACGGCTAGCTTGTCGACGCTGTGAGCACGCAACAGTACGATCGGGTGCTAACGCTTCTTGCCAATGGCTTGAGCCCCAACACCACAAACAAGGTTCGAGTTTTCTAGTTGTATAGTAGACGCTAAGAACATATTGCTAGGCGGGCGACTCGCTCTTGCATCTTGCGGTGCAGGGCAACGACCACGCTTTCTTGACGGCACTTGTGCGGACGCCAGGTCTGCAGATGGAGATCCGCAATGCGGTACATTGACTTCATCCGAGATATCGATGACCTCCGTCTCGGCAGGCGGGCGTGACGCCAATGACACTGGCGATCCAAGCCGGGAATCGCCGCTTGACAAGCCTTTTACATGCTGCTTCGCATGCGTTGAAGCCCGAGGTACACTCAAACCCTCGATCGCAATGACAAGGATGTGTGAACTCTCAAATCAGGTGTCGTCGGACGCCTACACCATGGACGTCGATGCGCCGCTCGGTGTTGGCGGCTATGGCGCCGTGTACAAAGGCACGTACAACGGTCGCTCGGTTGCCATCAAGACAGCAGTTGGGCCCGACGGTGCGGCGACTCTTCTCGACGAGACAAAGACGATGCTCCTGTACGTCATTTTTCATTTTCATTTTCTCATTTCTTATTTTCAACCTGTTATTGTGGACTAGGTGTCGCTCGCCCTATGTGCTGGAGCTTCTCGCAGTCACCAAGGCCCCAAATCCCAAGCTCATTCTCGAGTACATGGACGCGGGCGATCTGCGCAGCTACCTCGACGCCAAGCGCCTCAATCAACCGACCAAGGTGGATGTCTCATCATTAGAGGTTGCGTGGGTCGTTGCCAATGCCCTCGCCGACCTACACCACGACGGTCTCCTCCACCGCGACATCAAGAGCCCGAACGTACTCCTCTGCTCTCAAAACTACATCAAGCTCGCCGACCTCGGGATCGCGCGCGAGTACGAGTCAAATATGACCATGGGCATTGGGACACTGCGGTGGATGGCCCCCGAGCTCCTGAATCCACAGCAACGTTACAACTCGGCGGCCGACATGTATGCGTTTGGCGTGCTCTTGACCGAGCTCGACTCACTGGCCGTGCCCTTTGCGAACGAGACGTCGGTGCCTACGATCATGCGCAAGCTCGGCGACGGTGCGCTCACGCCCGAGTTCACGCCGTCCTGTCCGACTTGGCTCAAGGACCTTGCGACCGCATGTGTCTCTTTCGATCCGAAAATGCGTCCGACAGCGCAAGAGGTCATCCACGACCTCCGCAAGCAGCTCGTTGGGCAACCGAGCCAACCCACGACGACTGCCATCATGAACATACCAGAGACATCGCTGTCGATCCTCCCCAGTGCGCCAGCAGCAGAAATGGCGCGGGTGTGACCCGCCTCGTAGTAAGGGATTCTTATAGATCGATCTAGGCAATGCCTCTCCGCGAAGAAGTTGAGCCGGAGGATATGCCGTCGAGTCTCGTCGCGCAATTTTCATTCAATCCACGCCACTTGACGACGTCGTCATCTTGGTCCTCAAAAGGCGAGCCGACGCCCGAGCCGCCCCACGCCAACGCTTCGCCAATGGTATCCGGCAACACCGAGGTACCTACATGTACTAGCCTGGCAGTGTGCTAATCGACGGTGTTGATGATGCTAGATGAACTCGCTTGGGGTGACAAGTCTTGTCTGCCAGCTCTGCAACACGACCAACAGTCTTCTCGACGAGACGTGCGCGGATTGCGCCGAGTCGCTGCCGCCCGCTCCGTTCAAACTCAAAATTCTCGTGCGCCGCCTGGCCACGCACAGCGTACATCACATTGCCACCACGATTGCGTGCTTTACGTGCAGCGACGTTTCTCCGATGACGCGCGCCGCGTGCGACTGCGGCGAAGAGTTTCCTCCTGACGCTGCCAAACTCCACATGCTCTTCAAGCGCATCGAGCTCGCAGGCAGCAACTCGACGCCATAAGAATGCAACCGAGTCGTTATAGAGGATGATGTTCCGTCTCGTCTTTTATTTGTGATCCCCACCTCCTGAACGGTACTCGCCGAGTGCGCTTCGAAGCTTACTTACGAATG